TATATATATATATATATATATATATATATATATATATATATATAATTTTTCTTCAGAGATCTATCTTCTTTTTCCACGTTTTGATTTTAATTCATAACGTTTTTGCTTCGTGATAGTTAAATTAGAAATCTCTAAAGTAAACACGGACTTAATGGACATAAATCTTATAGTATAGACGTGTATAAATTAAAAGCTATTAAAGTTTCAATATTTTCGCTATACAAAATATGGACTTATTTATATTATTACAAAATAAATTTTGCTTTAACAATTTTTAAATTGTTGAATACTGTAATAATAAAATATTAGAATGATGTTTTGTGACATTTCGAGAAATTTATAGAAATCTATAGAAATCTTTTTTTAAGTATAGAAACGGTATCCTTAATAATATCTCTTCCAAAGGTGCGAATTGGAGAAAAGACGATAAATGGCCTGTATACGTATCAATATACATTCATGGAAAACGAATTGGATAACGGAGCAATAAATCCAGAAAATAAATGCTTCTGTCGTCAAGGATTATGTTTGAAACCCGGCTTAATCGACGTCACCGATTGTTATTATGGTATGTTAATTAAGTTATTCTGTATAAGTCAAAGATGATACATATAAAAGCATTAATATATGTAAGTTTCAATGCAAAGTTAAACTTCATGAATAAATTATTATTCTTAGTGCATATTAATTATTTAATCATCTTCGATGTTTTCATTTTTATCATCTTTATCATCATTATTGTATAATTTATTAAAAGCCTTAATTCCGCCGATAAATGCATCTTATAAAGGATGGATTGTTAAATCCACTTATAAGAAAGTGGACTTTTTGATCTGCATCGTTGCAAAAAAAAAATCAATGATTTTCACACCGTGTGCTATTTACCGGTTGCGATCGTCCGACTTGTTTCCTTTGAAGTCGTGTCGTAAGATTCCGATTGCCTCGGTCGTGTTGCAATAAAAATCAGCAGATCCGATTTGGGATGCGAGCAGAGGATAAAAAAGAAAAGAAGTCGTGCCTAAGCGGTCACATGCTAGACAATTAGGGATGATTTATATGCGTTTGCAATCATTCGCTTCGGCAAACAAATCCAGAGTTCGGCTTGCGGGATCTTTGGGATTAATGCGATGCAATGATTTCCACGACGCGATGCATTATGCGCCTTTATTGACAAAATACAACAAACGATCGAGCGTCAACGGTTGCAATATGTGATAATAAAATTATGACATGTCGATTACTAAAGAAAGAAGCTATTTCCACTAAATAATAATAACAATATCTTACGAGAATCGCGAGAATGTTGATGTTTTTTTTCATGTCTTGCGTTGCGATCTAATGATTTTATCCAGACAAATTTTCGTGCTCAAATTAAATCTGTCAAAATCGCATTGACATATTATAACATATTATAATATTTTTTTCGATTTATTTATACAGGATTTCCAATCGCCCTGTCATATCCGCACTTCTACAAAAGTGATCCGTCACTAGTGGAAGCTATCGAAGGATTGGAGCCGAAAAAGGAAGATCATGAGTCTTATTTCTTTATTCAGCCAAAGTCCGGAATTCCAGTGGACATAGCATTCCGATTTCAGATCAACATGGCTCTGCAGAATATCGAACACATGGCTAGAGTAGAAAAATTCTCCGAATTAACGATTCCGCTACTATGGTTCGAAATTGTAAGTATATCAATTATGCAACAAAAATAGTATTTAATTAATAATGTTCCTTTAAAGTTGTTTCTTAAAGGAATAATTTTTGTAGATATTTCTACATTACAATAATAATAATAATAATAATAATAATAATTTTTTCTATTTCGCTCGATTGCGAAATTGTTCATTATCGAATGGACTTTGTCTAACGATAAAAATTTATTTCTCTTTTTTTCTCAGGGAATGTACGAGCTACCGAAATTCATGAACCTTCGTTTCTGGCTTTATCTGAACATCTTGCCAGTAATGGAAGAAGTAATGACGTACGTGCTCTTCCTCTCTGGCGCGATGCTTCTCATCTGGAGCATTGTGAAAATATTGTCGTATCAAGCGAAGGGATCATCGGAATGGTTGGAAATGGAAAAAGATCGACGAAAGACACAGAATAAGAAGCAAGTTGAGCTGAAGGATAAAGAGATAGACGCGTATAATTCGCTCTTAACTTCCGGCGATCCAAGTTTAGCATTAGTGGTGTAATTATTTAGGGAATAACGAGAGCAGAAAGGATATTATTTCTTTCTAACTATTTTAGTCTTAATAATTGCTCTATTGGCGAAAGAGCGACAAATACAGTAGATTATTTTATTATATTTATATACTCTGTATATTACTGTGCTATTATCGTACCAGAATACGATTTTGTTGAACAAGTAATGTCAGGGTATTCAAAGTTCTCACCATTTGATTTAATCGATTTTGATTAAATCAATTTATGAACACTTCCATGTTTTAATATTTTTTTATTTGACAATGTAGATGATCAATGGAAAAAACATCCAAAATTTTTCTTCAATCCGGTAATTCGTATTTTTAATTGTTAACAGTTTTAATCAAAATGTTTTCCCAACTTGTAAGTTTATTACAGAGAATAATAGCAATGCTGTCTATCGATCTACATTCCAATATTAAATAAAGTTATTTTCTCTCTTATAATATTCCTCGTGATGAGAGTGTTTGTATGCAATTATATACAAATAATAATATGAGGTACCTATTTCATTATATTTTGTTACAGAAATTTTTTAAACATTTTGATTTTCTCAAGTTCTTAAAAAAATTGCATTATACTGAATATTTTAATAATATAAGAATTGATATATTTTTATAACAAAACATTTAACTTTATTGATCTGTTAACATTGATATGCCACATGACTGGCATAATTTTTAAAAAATTTAACGCCAGAACAGTGATTAAGTCAGCTATTGTATTAAATTGTATAAAATAATTATACGCCAAGTCAATAAAGGAAAAAACATGTTGATGCACTTCAGTTGCAATAAAAATTGACAAGATTGCAAAACAAAAAAAAGAGAGACATATAACATTGCTATTATAACATTGAAACTATTTCATGTGATTGTATGACTGTATGTGCTGAGTCTTATTATACCAATAGTTTTAATCACATACTCGCATTGACGAAATCATTTTATTCTACTTCATTCTTTCACTTACTCTACTCATTCTCTCTTTGCTCTTCATTTACTCTATTCTATTTCTATGTTTTTTACTTTTCGTAAAAATTCTATAGGAGAAATTTTTTTTTAATATTTATTTAAATATTTTGATTTTTATTTATATTTTCTAGATATAAAATGAGATTATTAAAAATTAGCTTGAAAACGAGGCTGTAATCCTCTGCTCTCTTTTAAAGAAACTCTTTTAAAGAAACTATTGTTATTTTTTATGGCATATGATGCTTTATTAATGCTAATTGTGACATCAAATATGACATGCTAATAGTCATGTCTGTAATTATTTCTTTTGTTCTCTTCTTTTAAAACAGTATTTTCTTAAATATGTCGATATAATGTAGAGAAATATTATGTCTACGTAGGAATACATTGATACGTTCGTAAGCTCAATTTTAATTGACACACGTTAAATTGACGAATCCCTCACTTTCAATGTAGCATATCTTTAAATAAACAGAGATAATTTAATAAATCTCCGATGTTAACTAACGCTGACAAAACAAAAAATAATTTTAATCTCGTTAAAAAAGTCGTTCTTTTGTTTTTCTTGACGAAAATGACGAAATCGATCATTGATAAATGATGCATATTATTATATACTTAACATACATCATCTATTTAATATTATCACTTGGAATAATTTTTTTATTTATAATTTTTATATTTTGTGTTTTTTTTTTTTAGAAAGGAAGCTTCATCTGCTGAAGACTTGCCATTTATTAAATATAGTAGTCAATAGAATTCCGAAAAAATTATCCAAGTAGTAGTATAAAGCGAACCACTCTGTATGTTTAGTGATCTCGAATAGCTCCACATATCACATCGTAGGCTATTTTTCTCCACATGGATAATAACACGATTTCATAGCATGAACATGTGAAGAAGACCATACCGACTTGGATATCATTCGGCAGATCATTTCATGATTTTATTCTAAAGTAAATTATCTTGTATATTAGACCTAACAGTTTAGACTAAACGATATGTTACGCAAAAGTTTAATTATTTAGTCTAAAACTGAAGTAAAAATAATCTTTATTCGTTTCTGTCATATGATATA